CGTCGGCCGCAGGACTGGCCCACCGGTCGGGGAGCATAGGCTATGCGCGGGTTAAGGGTGTCAATGCGCCGGACAATTTGCCAGGCCCGGCGGCAAGTGGAGGGGAAGAAGGCCGGACAGATGGTGGTTGGCCTTCAATCATATCCCCCGCCATATCCCCCGCCATATCCCCAACCGACTTTGCCCACTCCGTGCTGCGGGTGGACCTTTGGAACAAGCAGAGGGAGGTGCTGTCGGCCCTGCTCGAACACCGGCGCGTTGCCGTCAAGGCGGGCAACGGGCTGGGCAAGGGATTCAGCGCGGCGGTGGCGGTGATGTGGTTCCTGCACACCCACGACCCGGCTATCGTCCTGAGCACTGCGCCCACCTTCCGGCAGGTGCGGTACATCCTGTGGCGGCAGATTCACGGCCTGCACCGCCGCGCGCCCGACGTGCTGAAGGGCAAGCTGCTGGATACCCGCTGGGAACTGGCGGAGGACCACTATGCCCTGGGGCTTTCCGCCGATACCGCCGACCAGTTCCAGGGCTTCCACTGCCCCAACGTATTTATCGTGGTCGATGAGGCAGAAGGTGTGAGCGATTCCATCTACGAAGCCATCGAGGCGGTTATGACCTCCGATGGCTCCAGGCTGTTGCTCATTGGCAACCCCACCACGGTGTCCGGCGTCTTCCGTCGAGCCTTCCACGAGGAGCGCAGCATCTACCACTGCATCACCATCTCCGCCCTGGACAGCCCCAACGTGAAGACGGGTCGGATAACGATACCGGGCCTGACCACCCCCGGCTGGGTAGAGGAACGCCGCCAGATTTGGGGTGAAGAAAACCCCTTGTACCGCGCCCGGGTGCTGGGCGAGTTCCCAGACCAGGCCCCGGATACCCTGGTGCCCCTGTCCGCCGTGGAGGCCGCCGCCCGTCGGTGGGAAGCCACTGATCCGGATGCCGTTATCACCTCCCCCGGGGCTGACTCCCAGTCCGCTTATCCGGGGCCGGCTGAAGTAATTGAAAGAGAGGTAGTTCTGGCCGTGGACGTGGCCCGTTTCGGTTCCGACAACAGTGTCATCCTTCGCCGACGGGGTCTGCGGATTGAGGAGATTCTCACTTTCAACGGTATGGACACCATGCAACTGGTCGGCTGGATTGTCGCCGCCATCCGCGAGTTCCAGCCTCTCCAGACCTGCATTGACGAGGTGGGGGTGGGCGGCGGCGTGGTGGACCGCCTGAGGGAGCAGGGTTACGGCGTCCGCGGCTTCAACGGGGCCCATGCCCCTCGCCAGAGAAACATCTTCGCCAACATGCGGGCCGAGGGCTACTGGCGCCTGCGGGACCTGTTTGCCGCCGGAGAAATTGCCATTCCCCCCGACCAGCAGTTGATAGGCGAGTTAGCCTCCATCCGCTACGGCCACGACAGCAAGGGCCACATAAAGATTGACAGCAAGGACGAAATGCGGAAACGAGGCATTCCCTCGCCGGACAAGGCTGATGCCCTGATGCTGGCTTTCGTAACTCCGCCAAGCCGACCCAGAATCTGGACCTGATTGTAAGGAAAGGGAATTGTGACGGGATGAACGGGAAAGAAGGAACAAATAATGTTCCCCGTGCATCCTGTCCCGGAAATATACGTCTGAATCCGACACCTAGATTGATAATTATTGGAGGTTAACAGTCATGAAATTAGTTAACGGCGCTATTTCCGGAAAATTCGCTGAGCTGGTGAAATCGGGAGGTCAGGATGGGCTCCGCTTCCTGCGACGGGCCCATGATAAGCGGGACGAAGGCATAATCCGACGCAACAACCGGGCTGGCGGCGCTAACCTGGACCCCCTCGGCGAAGTCTTTGGCTCCGGCGGCGGCTGGGCCAACCCCGAGTATGGCGCCTACTATGCGACTTCCGTATCGGTTTACGCCGCCGTCAAGCTGCGCGCCGACGCGATCAGCCGCCCTCCGGTCCGGATCTATCGCATGGGCCCCGAGGGAACAAAACTGCCGGTGTCCGCAAACCATCCGGTGCAGCAACTTCTGGATAGAGTCAACCCCTGGTACACTCGTGGCGACCTCTGGCAGGCCACCGAGATCTACCTGAACCTGTGGGGGCAGGCCTTCTGGACTCTGGAACGGGACGAGGAAGGACGGCGGGAAATCTGGCCCCTGCGCCCCGACCGCATGACCGTCCTGCCCGACCGCCGCAACTACATCCGTGGCTTCGTATACCGCGGCAGCGGGGGGACGCCCGTGGCCTACACTCCCGACGAGGTGGTCTGGCTGCGTTACTTCAACCCCCTGGAGGAGTACGCGGGCCTGTCGCCCCTCGCTCCGGCCCGAATGTCGGTGGACATGGGCGGAGATGGACTGCGTTTCAACCGCAACTTTCTACGCAACTCCGCCCAGCCCGACTTCGTCCTACTCACCGACGCCCAGCTTACCGATTCGGAAATTGAAGAGTTCTACAGCCGGTGGGAGGCCCGCTACCGTGGCCCGCAAAACGCCCGCCGTCCTGCCATCGCCAACTTCGTGAAGGACATCCGCACCCTGGGACTGAGCCACCGCGACATGGACTTCATCCGTGGCCTGCGCTGGAGCCTGGAGGAAGTCAGCCGCGCCTACGGGGTTCCCAAGCCGCTGCTGTCGGACCTGGAGCGGGCCACCTTCGCGAATATCAACGCCGCCGAGCGCATCTTCTGGCGCAACACCATCGTGCCCGAAGTCCGTTTTCTTGAGGAGCACCTCAACCGGATGCTGCTGCCCAGGCTGGGCTACCCCGACCTGGAACTGGAGTTTGACCTGACCGCAATTGAGGCAATGCAGGAGGACGAAAACAGTCGGTTAAGCCGGCAGATGCAACTACTGGACAGGGGTGTCCTGACCATCAACGAGGTTCGCCGCCAGCGCAACCTGCCGGACGTTCCCTGGGGCAACGGGCCAGCAACAGCGTAGATACGGTCACATTTCATACGGTGAATTTGCAATTTGGGCTGAAGGGCGCAGTTGATTTGGGTTGAAGCGATGTTGTCCTCGGCCCCTTTCCTTGTGCTCGTGAGCCCCTTTTCCTCTCGTTCTAGCCGCTAATTCTCTCTACATCGATTCCCCCTTTTTCGCTTTGGGAATGCTGAAGTGCGTCATGTTGTTACTGATTCTGGAAGTGAGGAGCATAAATTCCTGACACTGGCATGATGTCAGGCTTTTCGGCGCCTTACAGGCTGGTATGGAGCCTAAATGCAATGAGCACGGATTTGGAAGGTAGCGGGAAGAATTCAGTCAGCTTGTTGGCCTGCTCAATCAATTCAGGGGTTTTGTCCTCCAGGAAACAGTCATCGGAAATTCTCATCCCATACACTTTGACTCGCAATGCAAGATTTGAGATAATAATAGAAACAGCAAAACCCATTACCTAGAATTATATTACCTCGCTATCGGAGTGTGAGTAACGGTCACCAATGAATGGATTTGTTCCGCAACAACGAAAAGTCCGGCGAATATCGGAACAGATATGGAGTGGGACCGCTGCTATCACTGATCTGAGGCGTTGCCAAACGAGAAAATGCTTGTAATATAGGGGGGCATATGAAAAAGTGAATAAATCAGGGGCGGACAAATATAAAACCGCGATAATTTTCAAGAACATATTCAAACTACCGGTGAAACTCAGTGTAAGAGCGTATTGAATTACTTGCAGGCGCAGTACCGTCGAAAGACATGAGAAACGACTGGTTAGGGGCAACAGGCAGGCCATCACTCGGGTTGCCGCTGGAGTCCATAACCGTAGCGCTAATTGAGAGAGAGTATTTTGGGCGATTTTGAGAGTTACCTGGATAACCTGAAGGAACGGCTTGGTCTGGGACCCGCCGAAGCGCAGGAAATCATCGAGGAGTTCGAGTCCCACTTACACGACAAGGCTATCGACCTGGAAGCCGAGGGAATGGACGGCGAAACTGCTCGGGACTTGGCCATACAACATTTGGGAGACCCGTCGGATATATCCCGCCGAATGCGCCTGGTATACGGGTACGGCGATTGGCAGGATATATTGCTGGCCGCCTCCCCTCACTTCATGATCGCCAGCCTGTTCTTTTTCGATATGTGCTGCAACTATTTCATAATTGCTGCGGTAATGGGAATTATAGTCGGTGTAACCTGGACGAACTGGCGGCACGGAAATCCCAGCAAATGGTCCTATTCCTGGTTAGGTTACGCCGTCGCCGCACCGGCGATTTCTTTAATGGTATGCCTCCAGGCGGTGGGATATGGCGCCTGGGCTCTTTTGACCGGTGAAGGCGTGCCCGTTTTTGACCCCATGGTCATCCTGCTGATTGGCTGCGCCCCGTTCGCCATGTACCAGGTAATCAAGCTGGCCCACCAAATGGTCAAGAAAGATTGGCTGTGGCTTACCTTTGCCGCCCTTCCCCTTCCCGTCGTGGGTTCATGGGTTATTTTCTTCCATTCCAACGAGCTGTACATGGGGGTGCACCTGGAAATGCTGGGGCAAATTGACTACACCCAAATGGGGGTCTTTGTTGCCCTGGGCATCATATCGGCACTTTACCTGAAGCTCGGAAAGAGGGGGCCAAAGCTGAGCCTGTTACTCGTCAGTGCGGTTGCCTTTGGAACAATCACCAGCGCCACGATGCCGGTGGGCCTGCACCCAGCGAACCTGGCCATGATGTTCTCGGCCTATCTGGCCCTGTTTGCCGCCCCGGTATTGTGGAAGTCATTTATCGACTGGCAAGACCGACAGCAAGTAATTCAAGGCGCAGTGGGTTAAGCAATATTCACTCGTTTCGGGACTGCAATCGGCAAGCGAAATACCAGGTGAAACACCGAGCGACATAATGGGACCCTTGCTCTTGGCAGTTCCCTCGTTCGACCGCCTGGCCGTAAGGACGGTCCCCGATCAATGGTTATCCTTATCCGGGCTCCCACTGGACAGGTAACACGCATTACTTTAGATTGATCCAAAAATGTTAGCTGTCTAATTCCATTGGGATCCTTAATGGACTAGAGAGATTATGAGCCAACAGGAAATGCTCAAGGGAAACACTGAAACCCTGCTCTTGTCTCTGCTCTTGTTGGAACCGATGTACGGTTACCAGATTGTGAAGGAGATAAACACAAGGAGCAGCGGGTACTTTGACTTTAAGGAAGGTACTCTCTATCCCGCTCTGCATCGAATGGAGCGGGATGGGCTGATCGAAGGGCGTTGGCAAAACACCCCTGGTGGCATGCGCCGACGCTATTATTACATCACTCTCAAGGGCCGTTTCGTTCTCACCGACCGGCAGGCGGAATGGCAGCGTTTCAGTAGAGCAATGAACTCTGTTATTGCCCGGTCAACGGTTCAACCGGAAGGATAATGAGTTCACTCGAGGGCAACAAGAAGTGGTTGATTCAGATAAGTATGTTGGTGTCTTATCCCGTCATATCCGTCTGCAGCCAGCGAAAAAGAATGAAATAGTTTGCGAACTGGAAGATCATATAGAGGACAAGACTTCCGACCTGGTGCATCTCGGAATTCGCCTGGAAGCAGCGCAAAGCCTGGCCGTGAGGCAAATGGGAGATCCCATTGCCCTGGCCAGGCAACTCCATGATGTTCACTGTCACGTAAGCCTGAAGCACCTGGGACTGGCGGTCGTACCGCACGTTCTCCTTGCCGGCCTGATCGCCCTCAACCTTTGCGGAGATTTCCTGGCCGTAGGGTTAACTCTGGGGCTGATCGTCTGTGTAACCTGGTACAACTGGCGCTCCGGCAACCCCGGGAGATGGTCGTATTCATGGCTTGCCTTCTCCCTGTTCGTGCCGGTCATTGTATTGCTGTTGACCTTGATCGCCCCGGGAAAATCCATTCCTGCTGGGGTAGCCGGCAACCAGTTTCCCGTCAACCCGTACCTGATGCTGTTTTTCGGCGGGTATCTCCTCCTTGCTTTCTGGTTTTTGGCGCGGGTAGTCTACAGGATAGTGCAGCAGGACTGGTTGATTGTTGCCTTTACCGCTTTGCCCATTGTCGTTCTGACCGGTTGGAGGTTAGTCTCGGAGTGGCGCGATGTTACGTGGGCGCCTCAATTCGCTTTGGTAGGGGGTAACGGGGCTCCCTGGATTCTGGTCTTCCTGAGCATTGCGGCTATAACCGCCATATTTCTCAAGTTAAGCCTGCATTCTTTGAGGGCGAGCTATCTCCTGATTGCCACCCTTGTTTTGACCGTTATCGCGTATGCTGCTCTGGTGGTTAACTACCACCTGGAACCCGTTGGCTTGACCATGGTGGCATTGGTAGCCGTGCTCTTGATGCCTTCCCTCAGAAAAACCCTTGCGTCCAGCCTCAGGATTCTGCAAAGCATCCTGCAGACAATGCTCCACCTAATTTGGAAGTGAAGTACCGGCGGGGAAGTTACCAGTCTGGCAGGCTCTCGCCACAACGGAAGCCGCCATAGAAAATCCGAACCGAGGCAGGGGGCAGGCGTGTAATCCCTGCCCCCTTTTCAGTCTCAGTTGTTGAACTGACTGCACTTCACGTCCCCTGACCTGAGGTAACGCCGTGAGCGACATGGCCACTCCGGAAGCAGACACGGTTAATAGGGACGTAGCTGCCTTGCGTCGGGCCCTCCAGCGGGAATTCGGCAAGGTTAGTCCCACTGCCACCGGTGGCGCTTTGGTCGCCCTTTGCGGCCTCCCCGGCACCGGCAAGTCCCACTTTGCCGCTGGCCTGGCCCGACGCCTCCCCTGCCTGGTGCTGGGCAGCGACCGACTCCGCAAGATTCTGGAGCCCCGGCCCACGTACGTCCGTGAAGAACATGCCAGGGTATTTCGGGCGGCCCATGCCTTGCTGGAGTTGCTGCTGGCCCAGGGCTACCGTGTCATATTCGATGCCACCAACCTGACCGAACGGTCCCGCGAACCCCTGTACGATATAGCCGCAAGGGTGGGCGTCCCGCTGGTGATGGTCCAGGTTGATGCGCCGCCCCGCCTGGTGCGAAGTCGTCTGGCCCGCCGCTCACGTGGTGAGGCTGACGACACCTATTCCGATGCCGATTGGCGCATCTATTGCCGCCTGTACCCGGGGCAGGAACCGGTCTTGGGACCCCATTTTGATGTGGATTCCTCGGGGAATATTGAAGCCGTGGTGGAAGAAGTAGCTAAACTGCTGGAGGAGGAGTAGCTTCATCCTTCATCTCGAGGGAGAGAGGCAGGGGTCATGGCTAGAGCGCTGCTCTCAACCGTTCCACCAGGTAAACCACCCAGTTTTCTATCAGGCCGAAGAACAGACCCACTATTACCAGGGCAATTATAACCCCAATCAGGCAACCGGCCCCGAAGAGGCAGCCGCGTCCCATTTCCCGAAGTGGTGAAAAGATTAGGTTTAGCATATTTTCCGGAGCGGCTCACCCCTGTCTTACCTCCCCCCGCTGACTCAGGGCTTGTCGAAGGATTTGGGGCCCTGCCAAGAAGTACAGGCTTGGGACCCGAGGACTGGGCTGGGAAAGGTAATTGAGATTCCACTGTGTAACTTCAGATGAACGTCGATTAAAGACACGATTTCGCTTGTCTCGCCCTTATATCGACCATCCCCTTATAGCTATGCTATCATCTCCCCATTCAGATTTATACGGAGAGAAGCGATGCAAATCGGAGTGTTCATGGCCCTGTCCGCCAAGGCAGTTGACGTGGCGGAATTGGCTCAAAAAGCAGAGTCTGTCGGGTTTGAGTCCATGTGGATGCCGGAGCATCCGATCATGCCGGCACACACCACCAGCAGATACCGGGGCACCCCGGACGGGTCGGTCCCACCTTATATGTATGACATGGTTGACCCCTACATGGCGCTGTCCCGCGCATCCGCGGTAACCAGCAAGATCAAGCTGGGCACCAGCATCAGCCTGATTCCCGAACGCAATCCCCTCATGCTGGCCAAGGTCATTTCCACCCTGGACCATTATTCGGGCGGCCGCTTCATCCTGGGCGTAGGGGCCGGTTGGCATCGCGAAGAAACGGAAATCATGGGCGGCAACTTCGACCATCGCTGGACCCAGACCAGGGAGAACATCCAGGCGATGAAGGAACTGTGGACCAAGGAGCAGGCCGAGTTCCACGGCACCTACGTGGACTTCCCGCCGGTCTATTGCGACCCCAAGCCGGTGCAGCAGCCCAACCCTCCGGTATTGCTGGGCGGCGCCGCTTCCAACCTGTTTCGTCGCATCGTGGGTTGGGCCGACGGTTGGCTCCCTGCCGGTGCATCGGTGGAGCAGGTCAAGGCGGGCCGCGCCTCTCTGGACGAACTGGCCGAGTCCGCTGGCCGGGATCCGGCGTCAATCCAGATTACGGTGTTCAATGTGCCCGCTGAGCCGGACACCCTGAAGCAGTACGAAGAGGCCGGCGCCGACCGCGTCATATTGTCCCTGCCCAACGCCCGGGAAGCCGGCGCGGTTGACGAGGTGGAACGCCTGGCAGAAGCCGCCCTATAAGGTACATCCGAATATGTCCCTTCCCCCCTCGACGGGGGAAGGTTAGGATGGGGGTGGCCGTTTCCAATACCAATAATAGAGCCAGATCGCGTCATATGAGGAAAAACCCCACAGACGCTGAAAGAGCCCTGTGGAACATTCTACGTAATCGACAGGTGTTGGGGTACAAGTTTCGCAGGCAAGCACCAATGGGACCCTACATAGTTGATTTCGTATGCTTCGAGAATAGACTCATCATAGAAGTGGATGGTGCGCAACACATGGAACGAGCGGATTATGATGTTGATCGCACCACATGGCTGGCGTCTGCGGGCTATAAGGTGATCCGGTTCTGGAACAATCAGGTACTGGAAGAAATGGGAGCTGTACGGGAAACAATATTTGCGACGGTTGAAGGCCTTTCACCCCCATCCTAACCTTCCCCCGTCAAGGGGGAAGGGACTTTCTTAGTTGTTTCTTAGCCTCTTGCCCTTCGTGGATGCATGAAAAAAAACTTGCTAGCAAACCCTTGTGAGGTTGTTATGGTCGCTTCTTTCTCCGTTGTAGGCCAGCCCATCGTTCGCGGCGAGGGCCCCGAAAAGGTGTCCGGCCAGTCGCTCTACACTTCCGATGTCATTTTGCCCGGGGATGCTGTGGGGCAAGATTCTCCGCAGCCCCTTGCCGCACGCCCGCATCGTCAGCATCGACACTACCCGCGCCGCCCAATTGCCCGGAGTCCATGCCGTCATCACCGGTCAGGACATTTCCGACCGGCGCGTGGGTCGCCTGCTCCGTGACTGCCCCGTCCTGGCCCGGGACAAGGTGCTTTTTGTGGGCGATAAAGTGGCCGCCGTGGCCGCCGACGATCCGGACGTAGCCGAAGAAGCCCTGCTGCTCATTGACGTGGAGTACGAAGACCTCACACCGGTCTTCGACCCTGAAGAGGCCATGACCGACGACGCTCCCACCCTCCACGAGAACATGGCCTCCTACCCTGGCCTGCCCCAGCCTGTGTCTACCGTAAACAATGTTTTCGCGCAGAACGTATGGGACAAGGGTGATATCGAGCGGGGTTTCGCCGAGTCGGACCTGATCTTCGAGCACACATTCAACACCCAGTTGCATCATCAGGGCTACCTGGAACCCCATGCCTGCGTGGTGGACATCGACGATACGGGAAGGGTGCAGATCTGGGCCAACAACAAGGGGCCCTTCATGCTGCGGGAGCAACTGGCCGCGGTTTGGGACATGCCCCAGGACAACATTCTGGTCAATCCCACCAGCATCGGCGGCGACTTCGGCGGCAAAGGTTCCTTCATGGACATTCCCCTCTGCTACTACCTGGCCAAAGCCGCCGGACGTCCCGTCAAAATGGTCATGGACTACGTGCAGGAGCTGATGGCTGGCAACCCGCGTCACCCCGCCATCATCACCATCAAGACCGGCATGAAGGTGGACGGCCGCATCTGGGCGCGCCAGGCCCGCACCGTCTTTAACAGCGGCGCTTACGGGGCCTTCAAGCCCCGGGTCAACCTCCGCGGCGCCGACCACAGTGGCGGCCCCTACCGCATACCCAACGTCCACATCGACAGCTACATGGTCTATACCAACAACATCCCCTGCGGGCACATGCGCGCACCGGCCAAGCCCCAGGTTGCCTTTGCTGTAGAGTCCCACATGGACATGATTGCCCGCGAAATGGGACTGGACCCCTACGAGTTCCGGATGCTCAACGTCCTCCAGGACGGCGATTCCAATCCGGTGGGGGAGGAGTGGGAGAACATCCGCGCCGGTGAGGTCTTGCAGAAGGCCGCCGAGGCAGCGGGTTGGGACCAGCCCAAGGCCCCCAATGTGGGCCGGGGCATTTCCATCTCCGACCAGCCTCCTGGCTCCGGTCAGTCCTCCGCCGAGGTACAGATGGACGCCGAAGGCAAGGCCACGCTGCTGATGTCGCTGTGGGACACGGGCACCGGCGCTCACACGGTTTTGCGCCAGATGGTGGCCGAAACCCTGACTATCCCCATCGAGGACGTCGGGGTCATCATTCGGGACACCGACGCTGTGGCCTTTGAGTCGGGCCCCGGCGGCAGCCGCGTAACCTACACTTCGGGCCAGTCCACCATGGGCGCCGCAGAAGACCTGAAGGAACAGTTGACCATCATGGCCGCCGAGTATATGGGCGCCACTGCCGACACCATCACTCTCCAGGCTGGCCAATTCCAGGCCGCCGAAGGCGGTCGGGCCATGGCGCTCAAAGACGTGGCGGCCCAGGCGGTTACCGCCATGGGCGAGGACCTGTCCGCCCAGAAGACCTATACCGCTCCACCGTCCGAGTACACCTCTTACTGCGCCCAGGTGGCCGAGGTGGAGGTGGACCCGGAGACGGGCGAGGTCAAGGTCAACAAGTTCATCACCGCCCATGACGTGGGTACGGTCCTGAACCCCCTGTTCCACCAGGGCCAGATCGAAGGCGGCGTAATCCAGGGCCTCGGCTATGCACTGATGGAGGAAATGGAGACGGAAGAGGGCCGCATTTCCAACCTGAGCCTGGGCGACTACAAAATCCCCACAATCAAGGACATCCCGGAACTGGTAACGGTGCTCCTTGAGCCGGGCGGCGGACCCGCTCCTTTCGAAAGCAAGGGCATCGGCGAAAGCAGCAACACCCCGGTAGCCGCTGCCATAGCCAACGCCGTCCACGACGCCATCGGCACCCCGGTAATGCAACTGCCCATAACGGCGGAGCGGGTGCTGAAGGCCATGCGGGGGCAGGGGTAATCCCGGAGGTTAGCAGCCATGCATCTGACCGGAATAAGACTGGGCGGAATACCGCCGTTTACTGACCCAATTACGCTCAGGTTCGATGAGCAGGTTAATGTGTTTATTGGGCCGAATGCTTCGGGGAAGAGCACGTTGCTGCTTGTGCTTGCAGGGCATTTTCTTCGCTCTGGAAGGGCCCTTGAAAATACAATCCCTTGGGATAGGTTGATTATTTCGGAGTGTCCTGATGATGAATTCGAGGAGTTCGTCCAAGAAGAAGAAGCAAATGTGATTTCAGCTAGTGAAGACTGGTTTGGTGCCAAATATGGCAACTTTAAGCCTGAGGTAATTCCGACCATAATTTATATCGGGCCAGTACGTGAAGGCTTGTCTAAGAAACTAAATACACTAGACACATACGAGTTTGGTGAGGAGGCTGCTGAAGTATTAGATGGTCCATTTAGCGGTTCCAGGGCAGTTTGCGCTTTCGAACTCTTGGGTTTAATACTTGGGGAACTAGGAGATGAACTGCGCCAGAATGGTGAAGACCTACCATACCTGAAAAAAAGTGAGCTGCGTAAGGCAGGTGAATTAGCGGTTACTTGCTGCCAACAGATTTGTAATGAAGTTCTCCAAGAACCCAGATTGCGCAGTTTCATAAGGGACCCTCACGCACTTGATCGCCTATTTGACCCGCTTGGTGACCCTAGCGATCTGACTGATTTTCGTAGTTTGGGAATAAGAACCACTGATAAGCCAAATTTCGAAGGCTATTCTTACTTTGAACAACCGGCAAGAGGTGTGTACGGATACGGTGAGGATTCTATTCCGTTACCAGTCTCCCATCTTAGTTCTGGCACTGGAGGATCCCTGCTCTGGATTCTTTGGCTTGCCCTCAAACTGGTCCACCATTACAAGTTTGAATCTGGGACCGAAAGAGACCCTGAAAATCGTAGTTACTTCAAAGATAGTTGGGACAAAAAACCTGCCATCCTCCTCATTGACGAAATTGAAAACCACCTCCACCCCACCTGGCAGCGTAGGGTGATACCGGCCTTGTTGGAACATTTCCCCGGATTGCAGATTTTTGCCACCACCCACTCGCCTTTTGTAGTTGCGGGGTTGAAGGCTGGGCAGGTTCATAAGCTGGAAAGGGATGCCAACGGAATTGTTACTGCCACTACACATCCGCAGGATGTCATTGGATGGACTATGGATGAAATCTTGCGAGTCATTATGGAAGTGGATGAGCCAACTGACCAACGTACAGTTGACCGGACTAACCGGCTGCGGCAGCTCAGGGACAAGGAAATACTGACTTCGGAAGAAGAATCGGAACTTAACGAATTGCGGCGTCAGGTGAACGAGGATTTGCTGAATAAGCGTGGCCCGTTGGAAGCGCAGCGGGAACGCTACGCCGACATGGTGCAGGACTTTCTTAGGATGCGGCAGAACGAGCTGAATCAAGATGGGGAGTAGCCGGGTTGCGCTGGGTTGACCGGGGACCGGAACCGAGGGAAGTTGCCGTATATGCTGAGCAATTTACCCAGGGATGGGTGGACTATTTTGTAAATCGAGTCGGAGACAGACCAACCGACTCTTATTGGCAAGAGTTTCGACCAGGGCTGGGAGAGCGTACGGACAGTATCTGCTGGTATTGTGAGCGGAAATGCTTTGCAGATTCCGATGTCGGTGGTCAGTCCGCTACTCTTGACCACTTCCGGCCCATCAGCCGCTGTCCTTGCTTAGCATATGAGTGGACTAATTGGGTGTTTAGTTGCCGTAGCTGTAATAATGAAAAGGCGGATGACTGGCCCATTGACGGATTCGTTGACCCTTGCGACCCGGGTATTTCGGACCGGCCGGAGCAGTATTTCACCTATGATTGGTTAACCGGAGAAGTCTTGCCGAGGGAGGACGTTTCCGAGAGTTCCCGACGCAGAGCCAGGGACACTATAAGAGCCTTGAATTTGAACCGGCAGGACCTGTTAGATCTTCGATTTGAATGGGTGTGGCAATTCTTTGTCGATTTATTTGATGAGAATAAGGTTCCCATTTCAGCCAGAGACCTATTTATCAGGGCAGCTGCCGGACAACCTACTAAACCGGTTGAGTTCTCCGGGTTGACTGGTATGTTCGTTGATCAATTGCGGCTGGCAGGTAGCATTTAACCGACCACTTATTGAACCTCACGGGCAGGCCAAGGCATTCACTCAAATCCCAATATGCTATAATTTCCGCGGTACACCGCCATTTCTACATTCCCTTGAGGTGCACCGGTGACGACAACTGGTTCAAATATTGAAGAGCGCGTCAGCCACCTTGAAGGCGCTTACGAGGACCTGGCAACCAAAGCCGATGTGGCTGAGTTACGTGCCGACTTAAAGTCAGACATCGCTGACGTCAAGACACTCATAGCTGAACTCCGTGCCGATATGGAGCAGAAGTTCGCTAACCAGACCAGATGGTTCGTCGGCTTCATGTTGTCCGGCATGGCAATGTTGACGGCAGTGGCATTTGGCGCGGCGCGGTTGTTACAATAGTCGAGAATCCAACCCGTCAAATATGCTTAATTTGGAGGAACAACGATGGCACAAACTACCGGACTTGGCCACGTTGGCATTTATGCCGATGATTTTATGAAACAGCGGGACTTTTTACTCACGGGTTATCGGGCTCATGATCGCTGATGAGAACATGGAGCGGGGCATGTGCTTCATGTCTTCCGACCCGGTGTCTGAGCACCACGAATTCGTGGTGATGAAGGGTCGCAAGGCCGAGCAGGACACCAACGTAATCCAGCAGATTTCCTTCAAGGTACCGACCATCCAGGACATGCGCGAGTACAAGGCCAAGCTGGAAGAGGAAGACATCACCATCGAGCGGATTGTCAGCCACGGCAACGCCTTTGGCATGTACTTCTTCGACCCGGAAGGCAACCGGGTGGAACTGTACTACCGCACCGGCTTTCCCGTCCCCCAGCCTCACGGCGACCTTATCGACCTCGACCGCACCGACGAGGAACTGATTGCCGATGCCCGCCACCTGCTGATGACCAAGGAGCCAACCAAGTAAAGCTTAATCGGACTCGCCTAAGCGATGGGCGGTATTTGGGTTTATAATGGGGGGCGCACGATGATCCGTGCGCCCCTGTATTGTTCGGGCGTAAACTAATGGACTGCAATATTGAGTCTATGTTGGCCTTCGGTCTCATTTGCAGTCGTGGGCATTGGTCATGCTTAAACGCTTCTTTAACGCCCTCATCGGTTTCATCGGCAGGCTGACCTACCGCCTCTACATCGCCCTGGGCGTCCTTCTGGTATCGGTGGTCGTCTTGTTTACGATCTTTCCCCAACTGCCCACCGGCTTCCATACGGCCCTTTTCGTTACCCAGGTGCTCAACAGTCCGGTCAAGCCCCAGTCCTGGTTTACCCCCACGCCGGTTCGCCAGGAGATTACCTTCCCCCGCGCCGATGCGGAAGGCCAAGCCGACGTTTACTACATCCCCGATGGCAAGCGCCGCGCCGCGCTGCTGGTCTTTCTGGGCGCCAATGCCGCCGGTCGCGATGACCCCGACGTGGTCAACTTCGGCAATGCCCTGGCCCGCGCCGGCTATGTACCCATGTTCAGCTGGTCGCCCACCATGGGGCTGCAAAACAACGTCGACCCCGATGAAATCGAGAATCTTACCTGGGCCTTCCAGCACCTGCGCACCCGGGACTACGTTGATCCCGACCGCGTGGGCATGGCCGGTTTCTCTGTGGGCGGCTCCTTCATTATGGTGGCCGCCTCGGACCCCAGGATTCGCGACGACGTGGCCTTCGTCAATGCCTTTGGGGCCTACTACGACGCCAGGGACTTCTTCATCCAGATTGCCAGCAACACCAAGCGCTCCGGCGAAACGGTGGAACACTGGGACGTGGACCAACTCACCCGCCGCGTCTTTGTGAACGAACTAATCGAGGTTGCACCCACTGAAGAAGAACGGAATGTCCTGACGCGCCGCTTCGTGGACAACGAGCCAGTTACCGAGGCGGAACTGGCCCAACTTTCCGGGACCGCCAAACTTTCCCGCCGCCTGCTGGAGGGCACCTCCCCGGAGGAAGCCGGGCAACTTCTTGACCAGATGCCGGCGGACTTTCTCGAAAAGCTGGATGGCATCTCACCCAGCAACCACATCGACAACTTCAAGAACCGCCTGCTCATCATGCACGATGTTGGCGACCGGCTGATTCCCGTGGGCGAGTCGCGACGGTTGGTGGAAACCCTGCAAAGCCAGGGCCGCCAGGACCTGCGCTACACCGAGACGGCAATCTTCGAGCACGTCCGGCCCGACGCCGACCTGCAACTCTGGCCGCTGGTCAAGGGCGCCAGCAAGCTCTACGCCCACATGTACGGCGTCCTGCGTATGGCCGCGTGATATTGCTTCTTTCTTAGTCCACGCATAAGCACGAATTATCACGAAGGGAATTTAAGGCGTAATGCCGGCGTAATGGTTGTCGGGTTAGGGTTGGGGCCATGATTATGCGTTATTGGGCATAGTGCAGAGGGTGTCGACGTTCAAAGCATTGGGCCTGTTTATTGTCCTGGTGGTGGCGCTGGCTGCCGCGCTGTTGGTTCAGACCGACCAGGCGGGCGCTCAGGCGGAACAGTGCAGGTCATCCGGCATTGTTCACGGCTCCGTTTCTATTGCTTCCACGAATAGCGTCGCCAGGCAGGTGTCGGGCCACGCGGTACGGTTCCAGTTGTGTCCGGCTATTGAGAGCCAGGCAATTGCCCTCGGGTCCAAGCCTCCGGATAAGATTGCCCTGCTGTGGGAAAGGCATATAAGGTGGCCGTCGGATGGGTTTGTCCTAAACCAGCCGGGGGCAGCGGGAATCACCTTAAGCGAAGTAGGCACGGCCAAAGTGTGGCCGGCTACCGTCGATTTTTCCGAAGCCATCAACCCCAAACTGAATAGGGACTATTGCTCTCTCTCCTGGGCCCATTACGATTTCACTGACTTCCAGGGAGTAACGGTCGAGTTCCCGCCGGCCGTCGTCAACGATAGCTCCCTCTATCGCGCCGACTTTCCCCTTAACTTGCAGTTCTGGGTGCCAGAGTCGGCGGGAATGTCAAACCCCAGGAGTATCGGTGAATATCGCTGGCGGATAGTCCTGTTCCGCAATTCTGCCAATGCCCGACGAACAAGCTTTACTTCCATAACCTCATCAAAAGTTACGGCTTATACTCCGGGAGAGTTGCAGTTGTTCCCGCATTTGGGCGGAGGGGGCACCACGGTAACCCTCGTCGGCCAAGGCTTCAAACCTTTGGCGCCAGTACAAAGTGTCCATATCGGCACGATAGATGTAACACCGGACTACAAGACGTCCACCGATGGCCGGGGTGATTTCGAGCTTGAGATACAAGTACCTGGGCTGGGCGTCGGCCTGACAACCGTTCAGGTGCAGGTAGATGGAAAAACGCCAAGCGCAGAATTCACCGTGACAGGATTTGGAGTTGGCACCCCCTTGCATGGGGCGGGCGAGAGTTTTGGCAAGCTGGGAGATAATTTTGTTCGTGCCTTTCACTACAATGCTGACACCTGCCGCTGGACCTTCTATGACCCGGAATTTGCGGAGGAGAGTGACCTGCGCTACCTGATAACCGGCCTAACCTACTGGGTCTTGCTCAAAGAACCGGCCGAGGCAATCCTTAACTACTCCACCCACAACCTCACCTGCACCCCCGAAGGCAACTGCTGGAACCAGATAGTCTGGTAGTAGGGGAAGAGCCAATTCCCCATTCGCCTCCATTCGTGTATATTCGTGGATAACTTGACCACAACAGGAGGCAGCTATGATCTGGTGCCGCTTTGAACGCGAAGGCAAAGTCAGCCACGGCCGCATTGTAGACGACGAAGTCATCGAGGTTGACGGCAGCCCCATTAATAACCCCGCCGACACCGGCGTAACCTACGCCCTGGGCGAGGTGCGCCTGCTGGCCCCCATCGTCCCGCCCATGCTCTACGCCGCCGGCCCCAACCACAATGGCCACGTTGAGGGCATGGCCGCCCGCCGGGGCGCTGCTCCCAACTACCCCAAAATTCCCGAACCCAACTTCCGCTCCGTCCATTCCCTCATCGGCACCGAGGAGAACATCGTCATCCCCGCCGACAGCGCCGGCGCGGTGCAGCCCGAGGGCCAGTTGGCCGTGGTGATAGGCAAGCACGCCCGCCAGGTAGCCAGCCGTGACGAGGCCCTGGACTGTGTCTTTGGCTACACTATCGGCAACGACGTCAGCGAGCGGGTCTGGCAGGGAGCCGACCGCACCATGTTCCGTGGAAAGAGCTGCGATACCTTCAAGCCCCTGGGCCCCTGGATCGTAACCGACCTGCCCTACGACAGCTTCCGCATCATCGTCCGCCACAACGGCGAGGTCTGGGAGGACTTCACTTCCGCCGACCAGATCTGGGACGTGCCCACCTGGATTATCGAGATGAGCAAGTACACCACCATGCACCCGGGCGACGTGCTGATGATGGGCACCCAGGGAGCCGACGGCGATATGGTTCCCGGAGACACCATCGAGGTGGAAATCAGCGGGATAGGTACCCTCCGCAACTACATCGTCGCCGAATGAGATTTATCGACGAACAGGCGCGAATGATAACGAATCACCCCCACCCTAACCTTCCCCCGTCAAGGGGGAAGGGATTTTGAGGTAGTGGATTGCAGACTCGTTCCTATTCGTGGAAAAGAAGGAGTGGGCAATGACAGCCATGCAAGACCTGATAAAGCAAGCCTTCGAGACTAACTGGGAGTGGACGGAGCGTTACATAGACGGGCTTAGTCAGGAAGAGATCGAATACCGTCCCAACGACCAGTGCCATTCCATCGGCTTTATCCTGTGGCATTACGGGCGGGCACTGGACCGGTGGGTACAGTCCCGCGCCAAGGGGGAACCCCAACTATACGTACAGGGCTGGGCCGAACGCCTGGGCAAGGACCCAGACCCCGACGATGTTGGCTTCGGCTACGGGGTGGAGGAGTTAAGCAACTGGCGCTGCCCCGACAAGGAGGCGTTAGTGGAGTACGCCACCGCCATTCGAAACAGCACGCTGGAGTACCTCTACAGCCTGGACGAGGAGACCATGCTGAACAAGGAAGTGATTACCCGAACGGGCACGACCATCAGCGTAGGAGCCATGTTTTTCCATCTGTTGTGGGAGGTAAACCAGCACGGCGGCCAGGCCGGATACCTGCGGGGCATGCAACGGGGATTGGGCCAGTAGAGCCTGAGAGGGGCAATGGTTCGCTGATTTGCGGCTAAGTTGTGGCGGACATGGGCTTGACCGGTACTACACCATCTTCCGCGCACCATGCCAGGTACTCGTCCACTGATATCTGGAACTCGCTGAACAGGTCGTCCGGGTGGTCGGCATGGAAAGTGGCAATAGGGCAAGGGGCAGTGTTGATCACGCTACCACAATAGACTTTCGCTATATCGTCATACTCGGTTTCGGCGACGTATCCCTTGTACTCCATCATTGCGCTGCTCCTATGGCGGTAAGGAATGAGGCGATGTCGCAGACGGCCCGCCTGTCGAGATAAGGGCCAGGGTGAGGCTAATGAACCACTATGCGCACCCCGTCTTTGCTGAGCCGCACTCGAGAACCCGCCCGCTCTACCAATTCCACGCCCAAGGTTGCCAACAAGGACACTAACTCTGCCCAACAAATGTCCGGCGGCGGCGAAGCAAAAATACGATTCAGCGTACGCCTGTGCCAATTTCAAGACTTCATATTATACTACCGCAAGAATCTCTAACCACAATCGCTGGGTTCTACCATTGGAAGGACGTGACTCAACAGGCATGTTCACTGGTGGGAAAGCAAGACAGGAAGCAAACCATGCAAATAACCGAGCACATCTACAGCACCCACATCCTTGAAGACCAAAGCACCTTCGGGGCCATGCACCCAGGTGGAACCCAGATATACTTCGTTGGAGACCCCGGCGACCACATGGTGCTGGTGGACTCCGGAGAGCCCTACCGTCACTGGACCCGCCAGATCCTCGACTACTACGAGGAACTGGGCCGCCCCCGAATGTCCGCCATCCTGATTACCCACGGCCACGGCGACCACATCGGGGGATTGGACCGGTTGCAGGAGGAGTTCAACTGTCCGGTTCGCTGCCACCCCAAGCTGGCGCCCGTGTTGGCCCAAAGGCTGGGCGAGGACTGTGTAGTCAAGCTGCGCTCCCGGGAACTGGTTCCGTCCGGCGGGGGAATAACCTTGCGGGCGCTGTTCACGCCGGGCCACGAGGATGACCATGTCTGCTACTATCTGCGGGCCGACAAGGTCCTGTTCAGCGGCGACAATATCCTGGGCAACTCATCCTCCAGCGTCCGCAACCTCAAGCAGTACATGGCCTCGCTGGAAGTCATGGCCAGGCAGCGACCCGCGATCATCTGCCCCGGCCACGGCCAGACCATCCAGAACGGCGAGGCCCGCATCCGCTGGTACCTGCACCATCGCCAGGAACGTGAGGACCAGGTAGTGGCCGCTCTGGTTGAGGGAGCGGAAACGGTGGACGAGACAGTAACTGCGGTTTACCCGCGCAACCTGCGCAAGAATCTGCGGGGCGCCGCCGCCCGCAACGTCAACACGCACCTGGTCAAGCTGCAGGAAGAAGGCCGGATAACCGAGAGCCCTGCCACCTACAGGGTTAAACAGTAGCTGCCCACGAAAGACGCGTATCAGCCCGGATTATCTGGTCAGGAGTGAACCAACACCAAATAGCACGGGCCTGACCAAATATAGGTCAGGCCCGTGTCGTACTCATTGGTGGACATTCATGTCTGTTCGTGGATTAAGAACTTAACTCTCGATAACCAGCTTTCCGAAGAACTCCCGCGACTCCATGACACGGTGCGCTTCCGGCACTCCCTCCAGCGGGAACGTCTGCCCTACGATGCCTTTCAGTTCCCCGTTGTTCACGCACTTCATCATATCGCCGAAGCTGCGGTGGGTGCGGCCCCCGCTGCCCATCAGGTGCAGCGGCCTCCCCTGCAGGATGGACAGGTTCATGCTGGTGCGCGACCCGGAAGTGGTGCCGGTAATCACCATGCGCCCGCCGGACTTGAGACAGAGCAGGCTGTCTTCCCATACATCCGCTCCCACCACGTCAAACACCAGGTCCACTCCCTTGCCGTCGGTCAACTCCATGATGCGTTCGCTCACCTTCGGCGTCTCCCGGTAGTTAATGCCTTCCGCAACGCCCAGCAATTCCTTGGCTCGCTCCAGCTTCCAGTCGCTGCCCGCGGTGGCGAAAACCCTCGCCCCTACCATCCGGGCAATCTGTATCCCCATGCTGGCTACCCCGCTGCCTGCGGCATGGACCAGAACGTCGTCCCACGGCTTCACCTGAGCCTGTACGATCATGCACTGCCACGCGGTGTGGCCGCCCTGGGAAATAGCGGCAGCTTCGGTGAAGCTCATGCTGTCGGGTATCTTGAAGGCGCAGGCGGGTGGCACGGCTATATACTCGGCATGGCCGCCGTCCAGGTCGATGCCGATGCGCTTCTGCGAGGAGCAGTTGTGGTCCTGTCCGTTCACGCAGTTCTCGCAAACGCGGCATTTGATCCGGTTTTCCAGCAGCACCCGGTCTCCTACCTTAAGGTTGGTATCAGCTTCGGGACTGATGGACACGATCTCGCCGGCTGCCTCCATGCCACCGATCCGAGGGCCCCGTCCGCTGCGCCCCTGGATGCGCCTGTCGATGTCTCCGCGGTTGAGGGCGCTGCCGTACACCCGCAGCATTATCTCCCCCGGGGCCACCTCGGGCTCCGGTCGATCGCCATAGATCATAGCCTCGGGCCCACCCGGCTCTTCAGAATAAACGGCTCTCATTGGATATACCTCCTTACCTTCTAATCCAGGAGTACCCGAATATTACATAAGGCACTCACCATTGGCAAAACCAGATCTGGCCAAATCGAGATCTCGATTTGGCCAGATCCATTGGTGAACGATCGTGTTTATTCGTGATTAGAGAACCTAACTCTCAATCACCAGCTTCCCGAAGAACTCCCGCGACTCCATTACCCGGTGTGCCTCAGCCACATTATCCAGGGGGAAGGTCTGGCCCACGATTCCTTTCAGCTCTCCGTTGTGCACGCACTTCATCAGGTCGGAGAAGCTGCGGCGAGTGCGGCCCCCGCTGCCCATCAGGTGTAGCGGACGGCCCTGCAGGATGGAGAGGTCCATGTTGGTGCGGGCCCCGGAAGTTACACCGGTAATCACCAACCGTCCGCCCTGTTTCAGCGACAGCAAGTTCTGCTCCCACACGTCGGCGCCCACCACGTCGAACACCAGGTCCACGCCCTTGCCGTCGGTCAATTCCTTGACCCGTTCACTGATATTGTCGGTCTCCCGGTAGTTGATTACCTCGTCGGCGCCCCACTTCTTGGCCTCTTCCAGCTTCCAGTCGCTGCCTGCGGTGGTGATGACCCGCGCTCCCACCATCTTGGCAATCTGGATAGCCATGCTGGCCACGCCGCTGCCGGCGGCCTGGATCAGCACGTCGTCCCACGATCGCACCTGACCCTGCACCACCATGCACTGCCAGGCCGTATGACCCGCTAACGGGATGGCGGCGGCCTCGGCAAAGCTCATGCTGTCGGGAATCTTGTAGGTGTTCAAGGCCGGCGCCGTGATGTACTCGGCATGGCCGCCGTCCACGTCAACGCCGATGCGTAGTTGGGTGCTGCAATACTGGTCCAGACCCGCCATGCAACTCTCGCAGACGTGGCACTTAACCCGGTTTTCCAGCAGCACCCGGTCTCCCACCTGGAGAGTGGTGTTGGCATCGGGACTTATCGACACAATCTCCCCGGCCACATCCATTCCCATGATGCGCGGACTCGTTCCGCTGCGACCCCGATTGCGCATGCCCATATCGGCCCGATTCAGCGCGCTGCCGTGGACTCGCAGCATCACCTCTCCAGGCTCAACTTCCGGGTCCGGCAGGTCTCCATAAACCAGAGCTTCCGGCCCACCCGGATCTTGCAGATAAACGGCTTTCATCAGAAAAACCTCCTCATTAGCAGTTACAACAGTGCCCGCATATTACAAGAGCAGGGTGTGCGGGTCAAAACCGGAACAAGTTTAGTCCCTCTCCCCGGTGCAGGAAAGCCGGGGATCAGGGCTAACACTTTGGAAATACAGGGCTGCCCCTGCCTGGTGAGATTCAGTGGGAGCCGTATTTGGGTGTGCCCTGGTTTGGAAAGCTGGTCTGGGAGCAACGAAAATGGCCCGTGATGGCAGGTCCTGCTTTGACACTTCCCCTCGTATATCGATAGAATTATTTATATAAAGGTGTTATGTCATAAAGTTTAGAGGTTCCTCCCATGCAGGCCGCTGCGCGTTACAGCTTTATATTGTTTGTCACTTTATCGGTAATGGCGACGGGGGCCTGCCTCCAATCCGACACACAGCCTGCCGCCTGCCCCGAAGGCTGGGACCAGGTTACCGAGTACCAGCTTTATTTCGGCCGCAGCGATGCCTTCGGCACCCTCGACGCAGTTTCCGATGAAGAGTGGGCCCAGTTCTTAGCCGACACGGTAACTCCCCGCTTCCCCGATGGCCTAACCGTGACTGACGGCTTCGGCCAGTGGCGGGCAGAGTCCGGCGAAGTTCTCAAGGAAGGGACGAAAATCCTTACCCTCCTCGTCTGGCCTGACAACACGGCCCAGCAGCGCATCGACGAAATTGCCGCCGAATATGAGGAGCGCTTCAACCAGGAATCAGTCCTCGTGACCTCCACCCAAACCTGCGCTTCCTTCAGCTAGTTGCTTTATCCACGAACAAGCACGAATGCTCACTAATACCGTTCGTGTTCCTTGTTATTCCCTTTGCGTCGATATTCCGTTGACGCTCGTTGTTGCTGCCTTTACACTGCCCCAAAGCCATTCCAGGCATTCTGAAGGAGCAACATGAGTCTTCCAGAGTTTGATGTAACCGGACAGAAAGTATTGATTACCGGCGCGGGCCGGGGCATCGGCAAGGGCATCGCCCTGGCCTTTGCCGAAGCTGGAGCAGACGTGGCCATCACCGGCCTCACCGATACCGGTGTCAATGCCGTGGCCGAGCAAATAACGGGCCTGGGCCGCACGGCCCTGCCCCTGACCGGCGACGCCACCAAGGCCGCTGATATGGACCGCATCGCCGAGCAGACCCTTGCTGCATTCGGCCACCTCGACACCCTGGTCACCTGCGTGGGGGACGCCATCCGTAAGCCGGTGGTCAAGCTGCCCGGCATTGCCGTTGACGGTATGAGCGAAGAGGAATGGCACTTCATAGTTGACGTCAACCTGACCGAGGCCTTCCAGGGATGCCGCGCTCTCGGCGGCCACCTGCTGGACCGGAGGCAGGGTTCCGTCGTCAACATCTCCGGCTGGGCCGCGTTCCGAGGACGCCAGGGCTCCGCTGCTTACGACGCCGCCAAGGCCGGGGTCATGCGCTTCACCGAGTCGCTGGCGCAGGAATGGGCCCCCTACGGCGTCCGTGTTAACTCCGTTGCCCCGGGCAGTTTCCCCGACCCGGCCCAGATGTCCGATGAAGCCTACCAGGCCCGCCAGGATGCCGCGAAGGAACAGGTCCCGCTGGGTCGTGTGGGCTACCTCAAGGAAATTGGCTACCTGTCCGTCTTCCTGGCCTCCCCAGCCGCCGCCTACGTAACCGGCCAGACCTGGGCTGTGGATGGCGGGGTTAGTATCAAGAGCGGGTAGGGCACAGCCGCCCTCGAATGGCGTAGAATATATTCCTTACAGAGAAACTGGCCGGATGTGTGTCTCATGAATAAAACGATAAGGGTCAAATTCTCCAATGGCGTATTTGTGCCATTGGAGGAGTTGGAGATAGAAGACGGTACTGAGCTACCCATATCCTTCGACAGCAGATTCCTGATGTCGCTTGAAGAAAGGATCAAGCTAACAAAGTCCGCTGCCGGTGCTTGGAAGGGAGAGATAGACGGGGACGCCATGATACGGGAAATCTATGAGTCCCGCAGAATCGGATCCCGATTGCCGCCGGACGAATAGCAGATGGAATACCTGGTGGATTCGGATTGGGCTATTAGCTATTTGAACGGCATACAACGTACTGTCCAGCGTCTCAATGGTCTGTTGTCTGTCGGTGTGGGTATCAGCATTATCTCTCTGGCAGAAATTTACGAGGGAATTTACGGTTCCACCAATGTTGATCAGCAAGAAGGAAGATTGGCTAGGTTCTTGACCTCGATCGAAATTCTCTACTTAGATGAAGCAATCTGCAGAATTTTTGCCCAGGAAAGGCGACGTCTTCGTTCTATGGGAACGCTTATAGGCGATTTTGACTTGTTAATTGGGGCTACCGCCATTCGCGACAACCTTACGCTGCTGACCAACAACCGCAGGCATTTTGAAAGAGTTCAGGGGCTTTTCATCATTCCGGCATGACAATTCCAATCACAAACTTCCCCATTCCCCAGTTCCGAATGCCCAATTCATAGCTAGCTAGTGAGTCAGGAGGGCCGGCCATGACTATGCATTACCCGTTGCTGGTGTCCAACATTCTCAACCGGGCCAGGACCGCCTTTGCCGACAAGGAAATAATCACCCGCACCGAGGACGGCACCCACCGCTACACCTACAAGGACATGGGCGCCCGCGTTAACCGTCTGGCCAACGCCCTGTCCGCCCTGGGTGTCAAAAAGGGAGACCGCGTCGGTACCTTTGGCTGGAACACCTACCGCCACCTGGAGGCCTACTTCGCCTCTCCCATCATGGGCGCCGTCAACCACACCATCAACATCCGCCTCTTCCCCGACGATCTCGTCTATATCATCAACCACGCCGAGGACAAGGTGGTGCTCGTTGACCCCGATCTTGTGCCTATCCTTGAACCGCTGGCACCCCAGATGGAGTCGGTGGAGCATTTCATAATAATGTCCGACGACCCTGAACCGGCCACCACTCTGCCCGGGGCCCTCTGCTACGAAACCCTGTTGGCCCAGGCATCCGACGAGTTCACGCAGCCGGAAATGGATGAATACGACCCGGCCGGCCTCTGCTACACCTCGGCCACCACCGGCCGGCCCAAGGGCGTGACCTATACCCACCGCGCCCTTTACCTGCACAGCATGGCCGAGTGCATGGCCGATACCTCAGCCTTCAGTGAGCGCGACACCACCATGGCCATGGTGCCCATGTTCCACGCTAACTGCTGGGGCTTCCCCTATTCCAGCACAATGGTCGGAGCCAACCAGGTTATGCCTGGCGTTCGCCCTGACCCTCAGGCCATCTGCGAACTGTTCGAGGAACACAAGGTGACGTTGACCGCCGGTGTTCCCACCATCTGGGTGGGGGTGCTGGACTACTTGGACCGTTCCGGCAAGACCTACGACTTTTCCTCGCTACGGGCTGTCATCAGCGGTGGCTCGGCGGTTCCCGTCAGCGTCATCAGGGCCTACAAGGAAAAGCTGGGCGTTGACCTGGTTCACGCCTATGGCATGACCGAGGCGACTCCCATAGTTACCTACAACCGGGTCAAGACCCACCTGGAAGGTTTGCCTGAAGACGAAAAGTACGAACTGGCCGGCAGCCAGGGCCTGGTCGTGGCCGGTCTGGAGATGAGGCTGGTGGACGAAAATGGCGAAGACCTGCCCTGGGATGGCGAGCAGCGCGGCGAGTTGCTGTTCCGCGGTCCTTGGGTCGCCCGCGAATACTATAACGACGAGCGCACTGCCGAGACTTACATCGACGGCTGGTACCACAGCGGCGACATCGCCTCGGTGAACCCGGATGGTTATATCCAGATCGGCGACCGCGTCAAGGATATGGTCAAGAGCGGTGGCGAATGGATTTCATCGGTAGACCTGGAAACGGCCATTATCGCTCACCCCGACGTGCTGGAGGCGGCGGTCATCGCCATCCCTCACCCCACCTGGGTGGAGCGCCCCCTGGCCTGCGTGGTCCCGAGGGAGGACGCTCGCGACAGTCTCGACAGGGCCCAGGTAATGGACTTCATCCGCGACAAGTTCGCCCGCTGGTGGCTCCCCGACGACGTGGTCTTCATCGACGAAATCCCCAAGACCAGCGTGGGCAAGTTCGACAAGAAGGTGCTGCGGGACAGGTACCAGGACTACGTGGTGGGGGGGTAGGGGGTGCGAATCTTAACCCCCGACCCAGATCTATGAATTCCCGATCGTCACTTTTACCGACCACGAATATTGCAATATCCTGGAGACGTCATGGATGAGGAAATTAACGAATTCGACCAGCAGCCCGCGGTCAACGTTTTTGGAAGCACCTCTAACACCACCGGTATCGTCTACATTCTTAGTAACGTTGCAATGCCAGGGTATATCAAAATAGGGTACACCAGTGGGAACAGCTTCAAGGATCTGCAGGAGAGGATGAGGCAACTGGACAGCACGGGGGTTCCCCGTTCCTTCGACTGCGAGTACGCCGGCTTGGTAAGCAACTGCGCTCAGGTGGAGAAGGCTATCCACACGGCTTTCGGAGACTTTCGAGTAAGGCAAAATCGCGAATTCTTTGAAGGCGTAGAACCCTTCAGAGTGAAGGCGATTCTACAACTTCTTGCCACCGAGGAAGTAACGCCAGGTTTGAACAACCAGCAACATTCAGAAGTCGAAAGTCAGCAATTTGAAAGCGAACAGCCAACAAGAAGACGGGAAGCATTTACCTTCTCTATGGTTGGTATCCCAAAGGGAGCGGCTTTGGAGTGGGGAGATGATCCGGATATAAAATGCCAAGTTGCGAATGACACTACGGGGGTTACATATGAAGGGGAGTATTATTCCTTGACCGGCTTGGCTTCAAAACTCAAGAGGTGGAAGCATAGCCCAACGGCCATCAGGTACTGGCTCTACGAGGGAGAAACCCTGCTCCAACGCCGCGAGCGGTTGGAACAGGAAGCGTTGGGGGGAGAGGAGTAACCGGCACAACCATTCACCCCGATCATCCCGCAGCAGTTGTTTCAAATCGTTCCGGATGCGTCTGAGACCAGAGACTTGTGCTTTGATAAAGAGATGAGATAGCAGGTCTGCGGTTGCCATTCCACCAGCCAACCTGGTTGAGTGTCTTGTGTTCGGCGGCTGCCAAGAAGGGGTGTCCATGACTTCCTTGGCATGACCGATTTGATGGACTTCAACCTGGACGAGTTCGCCGACGGGCAGCCCACGGCGGCTAGGTACTTGTTGAAGAACTACCCTGGGCCAGGGTAGGGAAATTTAACAAGCGGTGCAATCCAACTTAACCAGCACCTCCATATTCAGTTAAGATTTGGAAAATAGAATGCTGACTCATATAAGTCTGTACACCCACCTCCCCCGCACCACCGGCAAGGTCTCGCTCCAGGGACTCTCCGCCCCGGCGCAGGTTTACCGCGACGCTCTGGGAATTCCCCACGCGCAGACGGCCAACGAGACCGACGCCTTCTATGTCCAGGGCTTCGTTACCGCCCAGGACCGCCTGTGGCAGATGGAATACGACCGCCGTCGGGGCAGCGGTCGCTGGGCCGAAACGGTGGGCCCGTCAGGGTTGGACCAGGACATAATGATGCGCCGCTTCCGCCTGGTGGACAGCGCCAAGGCCGACTACGCCGCGGTCAACGCCCACACCCGCATACTGATGGACGCCTATGCCGCCGGAGTCAACGCCTGGATAGCGACTGCCACTGCCGAAGGCACCCTGCCCGTCGAATACTCTATCACCGGCTTGGCTCCTGAACCCTGGGAACCCTGGGATGGCCTGGTGGTCTTCAAGGTGCGGCACATCCTCATGGGCGTTTTCGAATCCAAGGTCTGGCGCGCCCAGTTGGTCAACGAACTGGGGCCGGAGAAGGCAGCCCAACTGGCCCCGGGCTACCAGCCCGGACAGCTTCAAATCCTGCCGCCGGGCGGTCGCTACGAGAGTGAACTCGACACCTATCTGTTTGAACTCATGCTTGGCGCCGAGGCGGTCAACCTCCTCAACGAGACCGACAGCGGCAGCAACAGTTGGGCGCTGGGTGGCGGCCGCACCGCCACCGGCAAGCCCCTGCTGGCCGGCGACTCCCACCGTGCGCTGGACACCCCCAACGTCTACTACCAGAGCCACATTTCCTGCCCGGAGTGGGACGTCATTGGCCTGGCCATCCCCGGAGTGCCCGGCTTCCCCCACTTCGGCCACAACGACAGGGTGGCCTGGTGCATCACCCATACCAGCGCAGATTACCAGGACCTTTACATCGAGAAGTTTGATGTGCGCAACCCGGGTTACCATTTACAGGCCAACATTCGGGACCAAGGCGCCTCCCGCCGGAATGCTTCTGCTGCGACCCACTGGCGGCAGGCCAATGGTCGTGAGGAGGTAATCAAGGTCAGAGGCGAAGCTGACCACCACATGACCACCTGGGCCACCGACCACGGGCCCGTCATCTCCGGTGGCCCGCCTGGCGAATATGGCATCGCTCTTAAGTACACGGCAACCGACGGCCCCAAGTCTTGGCCCAACCTGATTCCCGCCATGCTGCGGGCCCGGGACAGCAACGAGCTTGCCGACTCCATGCACGGCTGGGTTGACCCCTGCAATAATTTCCTCTTCGCCGACGTGGACGGCAACTTCGGTTACCTTTGCCGTGGCGAAATCCCCATCCGTTCCGTCCAGAATGCCCGCCTGCCCGTGCCCGGGTGGACCGGTGAGCATGAGTGGAAGGGCAACATCCCCTTTGAGGACTTGCCCCGCTCCATCAACCCCCCCGAGGGCTATATCGTCACCGCCAACAACAAGCCGGTGGACGATGACTACCCGTACTACATTTCCTCCGAGTTCACCCCCGGTTTTCGTGCCGAGCGGGTTAGAGAAGGCCTGTTGTCCCTGGATAAACCCACCGTGGCAGATATGGCCAAGGTTCACGATGAGCGCATTTCCATCCCCGCCCAGGCCTTCGTTAATTACCTGCAGGCCCACCAGACAGAGATGAACGCGAAAGATGACCTGACCACCAAAGTACTGGAAGCGCTGTTGTCCTGGAACTGCAGCATGGACGCCGACGGCGTGGCCCCCACCATCTACAGCGCCTTCCGCGACGCCCTGCTCCTTCGCAATCGATCTACCGGCACAACCTGGGCGAGAGGCTGACCGAAGAGGCCTGGCATCCCGCCAATCGGGGCACCGGCGCCTTCATGGCCCGCGTCCGCACCCAGCTAATCTACATGTTCCCCGAGGATGACCGGACCCTGCTTCCCGAGGGCGAGACCTGGCCCTCGATGATGTCCGCTGCCCTGGGCGACGCCATTTCGACGCTGCAAGCTACCCTGGGTGATGACCTGTCCCAGTGGCGTTGGGACCGGCTTCACCAAGCCCGGCCCCAGCACACTCTGTCCGCGGCCTTCCCCGAACTGGCGGAGCAGTTGGACCCTTCGTCCATTCCCATGTCGGGTGACGGCGATACGCCCCTGGCCGGAGCCTATTCCCCCGCAGACCTGGCTACCGTGGGAGGCCTTTCCGTGGCCCGCTACGCCTACGACCTGGCCGACTGGGACAATTCCCTGTGGGCCATACCCTTGGGCGCGTCGGGTAATCCGGGCAGTCCCCACTACCACGACCAGTCGGAGACGTGGCGCAAGGTGAGCGCGCGCCATATGTCAGTGGAATACGGATGGGAGGGCATTATAGCCCGCAGCCAGGCCCATCAAACCACGCGACGGCACCTGCGAGCCGACCTACGATGAACGAAAACGCAAGACGAACCCTAGTTGACTGGGATACCAGAGGGACAGACCGCGCCGAGCAGTTCCTGCCTGACCTCGACCCGGAGTTGGAAGTGGACGTGGAGGAGGACTCCATTTCCCCCTATGACGGCGGAGACGAATACGACACCTTCGTCCTCTTCTTTTCCCACGCCTCCAACCCTGACCTGAGCTGGACCATGGCGGTTAGGCCCGACGAGGCCTTCATCAACAATGAACTTGAAGAAGTGGTGCGCCGAATCTACTTCCAGCGCGTGGAGTAGATGGGCGCAGTTACGTCAAGACCGCCTTGCTACCGCTCATACGGAGCCTGTCGAAGGACTTGGCCTCTGCTTGTAAATGGATCGCCTTCATGGGGGCCACTATGCTGGCGTTCCCGAGAAGGCAATAACCTCATCTCAAACATTTGACCACCTTAGCGCTAATTCGTGGATAGAGAAACAAGAACAATAACAAGAACTGGAAGGGTGAAACCATGCAGAACCAGTCCGATGGATCTAACGGCAAGGTAGCAATCGTTACCGGCGCCGGAACCGGCATTGGCCGCAGCGCTTCCCTCGCCCTGGCCGCCGAGGGCTACTCGGTGTCCCTGGCCGGCCGGCGGGGACAGCTTCTGGAGGAGACCATTTCCATGGCTGGCGATGCCGCGGGCCGAATGCTGGCCGTCCCCGGTGACATTGGCAAGCCGGAAAGTGTGGCTGCCCTGTTCGCTGCCACCAAGGAGCGATTCGGACGCCTCGACGTGCTGTTCAACAATGCCGGCATCAGCGCGCCGCCCATACCCCTGGAGGACCTGACTTACGAGCAATGGCAGGCGGTGGTGGACGTCAACATTACCGGGGCCTTCCTGTGCACCCAGGAGGCCTTCCGCATGATGAAGGGGCAGGATCCCATGGGCGGGCGCATCATCAACAACGGGTCGATCTCTGCCTACGTGCCTCGGCCCAACTCTGCCCCCTACACCGCACAAAGCACCCAGTGCCACCGTGACGGACGTCACCGCTCCGCCTCTCTACTGAGGCCCTCCGCGCAAGAGCCTCTCACGACATCGCCTGCGGCCAGATCGACATCGGCAACGCGGACACGGAAATGGCCGCCGTCTTCAAGACAGGTGTCCCCCAACCCTACGGCGAAATTGCCGTGGAACCCACCATGGCCGTGGAGAACGTATCCCGCGCCGTGGTTTACATGGCCAGCCTGCCCCTCGACGCCAACGTCCAGTTCATGACGGTAATGGCCACCAAAATGCCGTTTATCGGGAGGGGGTAGGGAACAGGAAGATGAATTATGCCGAAACAAAACGGGCGGACTATGTAGTCCGCCCGTTAGTGCCTTTAATGGAAGTTCGGCGCGCTACGGCAACAACTTCATGACCGCCAAAATCAACCCAGAGGCGGCAAAAACTGTACCAACCATCCACCGGATAATCCTTAACTCCATTGACCGCATTTCAGCACGCAACGTTTCGGCAGTCGCCTGATTCTCGGCCCGAAGTGTCTCTACGGACGTCCGCTGCTCTGCCCGCAATCCATCAATAGAAGATGTAGTCTCCGACTGCAGGCCCACGTCCGTTCAAAAATACAATAAAAATAAAATAAATACAAATAAATAAAAAATCAAATAAATACAAAATAATCAAAAAAAAAATAAAAATAAAAATAGAAAATAAAATAATAAAAAAATAAAAAAAAAATAGGAAAGAAAATAATCAATAGAAGAATGCAATAGAATATATAAAAATAATAATAAATATAAAAAATAATTAAATATAATAAATATAAATCATAATCCGTGCAAAAAAAATAAAAAAATAGAAATAGAACGCACGTTCAATAATATAATAAGAAAGAGAAGAAGAAAAAGAAAAAGAAAGAAGAAGAAGCAGAAAAGAAAGGAAAAGAAAGATAAAGTCCAGGAAAAAAAAAATAGAAAGAAGAGAAGAAGAAAACAAAAAAGAACAAAGTAAGAAGATAGAGAAAAAATAAAATAATAATAAATAAAAAATAAAAAATAATAATAGAAAAAAAATAATAACAAAAAAAAATAAACATAATAATAAAATTAAAAATAATAATAAAAAAATAAAAGAAGAATAGAACGTCAAATTAAATAGATAAAAAATAAAAATAAATAAAATATGAATAATAAAATAATAAAAAATAGAAATAGAAAATAAATAAATAAAAAGCAAAATTAAAAATAAAATAAAATAATAGAGACGTGGTCCCAGCGCGTAGTCCATCTATCGCAGACTGCAATTCCTCCTTCGTAACCATGGTGGCAGCCACCACGGAAAACGTCTCGAAGGCCCCTTCCAGCCGGCTTATGCGTTCTTCCTGGGTCATGGTCATTATCAGGTTTCCCGGTACTCTTGGTTAAGAATCGCTCATTCTAAGGGCTCGCCTCCATCCTGTCATTACCTGGCCGCTGGAGGTAGAGCCTCCGCCGCAAGCCGCCTACACCATTAAAAGCCAAATGTTTTCATTGTGTCTGCCACTAAATCCGACATATAATCACACCCGTCATTTTCAAGCGCTACTCTTAATCAAGGTGACATCATGCAATTTGGAGTTTCCCTGTCCGGTATGGGCCAGCAGCCCATAGGCACCGACATGCGTCAAAGCTTTCAGGAGATCGTGGAATACATCCGCACTTCCCGCCAACTGGGCTTTGACTTTTTCTACCAGGGCCAGCACTACCTCACTGCCCCCTACCAGCAACTCCAGACCGTCCCCCTGCTGGCCCGCCTCGCCGCTGAGGCCGAGGGCATGGGCATTGTGGCTACCCTGCTGGTGCCCCTTCACCATCCCGTGGACCTGGCCGAGCGGGTCACTACGATGGACATCATCACCAACGGCCGCTTTGTCCTTAGCGCCGCCTTGGGCTATCGCGACGAGGAATACAACGCCTTTGGCGTACCCCGCAACCGCCGTGTCTCCCGCTACCTGGAGTGCCTGGATGTGATGCGCCAGCTTTGGACCCAGGACGAGGTTACATTCCACGGCGAACACTTTAACCTTGAGGGGGCTCAGATGACCCTCCGTCCCATCCAGCAGCCGCACCCGCCCATCTGGGTCGCGGCCAACGGCGACGCTGCCATCAAGCGGGCCGCCCGTCGCGGCTACACCTGGTACGTCAACCCCCACGCCACTTACACCGCCATCAAGCGCCAGATTGAGCTTTACCACGAGACCGCCGAGGTCGCCGGCTCAGGCGCCCCCGAAGACCTGCCCATAGCTCGGGAGCTATACGTGGCCGAGACCCGTGAGCAGGCGTGGGCCGACGCGGCCCCCTTTCTGGGTGGCAAGTATGCCGCCTACGCCCAGTGGGGTCAGGACAAGGCCATGGATGAGGAGTTCAGTTCAGCCTTCGCCGAACTTGCCCAGGATCGCTTCATCATCGGCGACCCTGAGGACTGCATCGGGGAAATAGAAAAACTGCGGGAACTGGGCATGTCCCACGGCAGCTTCCGCATGATGTGGCCCGGCATGGACCTCCGCCGAGGCCTCCAAAACATGGAACTGTTTGCGGACCGAATAATGCCCCATTTTAGGGAGTAGGAGGAGCAAGAGGTAACACAGTAGTATTGGTTTGGCTATTTCCTCGTCTTAAAGTACCAACATGAGCCGACCTATCGATCATACTTCATCGTACTCGTGACTGGTCGTGATCTGGTGATCAATCGCCTTGTCCTCGTGGTAATAGCACCTAGAAACCGGGCTGAAAAGCCCTGGTTGGGGAGAGGGATTTCGGCAGTAAAGCCGAGGCGAACAGAATCTGGGACCATAGTTGTCCGAGTCGGACCGCGCCGAAAATGGCCGTAGCATTGGCGACAACACCGTGGGAAACAGCCTGGACATCACTGGGGACGGCACTGAGGACGACGCGGTGGGCTTCCGCTCCGCCGCCGACACTGTCCGACAGGTCGCTTTTGCCCGCCACCAGGGTCAGGTTGGCCACTGTAGCCGCCAGGTACAGTTGGAATCGCGTCTTGACCCTGCCGAAATAGCGGGACTGGCGGATGCCCAACTGGACCAGTCGGGCCAACCGGTGTTCCACCGCCACGCGTCGCGCTCGATATTCGTCGTAGGCGGCGCTCTGCTGCAACGCCCGTGCCTCCTGCAGGAGGCCTTCCTGGGGATGGATCAGCACCCGCCGTCCCTTCCTGCCCTTGGCTGCGATGCACTGGGACCGCAGTGGACATGTCCGACATTCGGCCCCGTCGAACTGGAAGGCCTGCCAGCGGTATACCCGCCCCGCGGCATCCGTCCGCTTTCCCGCTGGCACGATGGTGTGGGTGACCTGTCCCGCCGGACAGGTGCAACTGCCCGCGGCCAGGTCGATGACAAAGTCATCCTTGGGAAAGTGCTTCCGGTCGGGCCGGCCTGGCACCCGGGCTACCAGCTTGCGGCCCACATCGGCGAAGGTCTGCCTGGTAGCTCCGTCCCCATAGGCGGCGTCGCCCATGGCCTCCTGCACCGGTACACCGGTGTTGGCCTCGCTCTGTTCCACCAGTTCCAGCGCCCCCAGGTTGTCCGGAGCGTTGCCGGGCAGTACCGCCACGGCGGTGATCAGCTGGGAATCGGTATCCACCACAATCGCCCGCTTGTGCCCGTCAAAGCGCCGGCTGAGATCTGTGGCCGGGCGCATCTCCGGGATCAGCACCGACATTCTCGGTCCCGGCTTCACTCCATCCTTGAGGCCTCACGCCGCCTAACTCGTTTTGGTCGGCGCCTCTTGACCGGGTTTTTTAGGGTGGGGGGGCGAGGTATTTATCCGTGTGTTGCTTCGTTCTGTTTCTTTTTTTTCTTGTTCTTGGGTTCTTTTCCTTTTGTGGGTTGTATTGTCCTTGTGGTGTTGGAGTTTATCGGGTGTGCCTGTGGGGGGGGATGTTTGGTAAGGGGGGGTATGTGGGTCGGCGTTCTTTGCTTTTCTATGGTTGTACACGGTGGTTGGTGGTTTAGTTACCTTTGCGCTGCTTTGTATTAGTCGGGCCTGCCTCATCCGCTGGGGCGCGGTGTGTTCGCGCTAGGCTGAGGGGCGGGGATTTTTTCGCTTGCGTCGCGGGTTTTCCGTTGTCGTTGGGTTTATCGGGCGTGGGCGTGGTTGTGTGTTTGGTTGCCTGTTGACCCTAGGTGGGGCGTTCTCAGTGATGGGGATGGGTGCATCATTTCGTTTCTTGGGGTTCCACGCGTACATGGGGGTTCAGCGGATGTCCCGTGCGCCGGGGCTGACTTCGGGTAGGGTGGTCTTTCCGTGCTTCATGGGCGCACCCGTACCCTTGTGGTGTGGTGGAGTCGGCCCGTGCACCGGTCCTGGATCGTGGCCGTTTTTCAGATTGCCTTTGCTCCTTTGGACTCCCCCTTTTTACGTGGGCAGACTCCCTTTCGGGGCAGCACGCTTTTGTGTGCCCACCTTCTGGACTTTTGAGCCTTATGTTGGGAGCGTTCGGTGCCAGATGGAGTTTTTTCGTTTATGTCTCTCACTGCCGGGTGTGCGTTGAATTTTTTTTTATTGGTTGTTCATCGTCGCGCGGCGTATTTTCGTTTTGTTCCTGGTTATACTCTTTGTTTTCTCGCTATGTCGTTGTTGTCACGTTTTCCGTTCGATGTTATCGGGGGGCGGTGGCCGTCTGTGGGCTGGGGTCCTATTCTTGTGTAGGAAGGGAGGCGTCCGACGCTATAGGCCTCCTTGGGTTTCGTTTCGTAGTAAGGGGTAATTCGGGATCTTCTGGCTTCTCAATGATTCGGCATCTTGCCTTGGCCGTGGTTTCCGGACGAGGCGTTGGCGTTCAGAGTTTTTTGACCGTTAGAGTCGTCAGCGTGCGCGCCGGGCAGGGTGGCTGACGGGGGTTCTTTATTCGCTTTGGCGGCGGGGGAAGGCAGGTATGGGGCACTTCCGCCCGTTGCTTTTGTGTCTCCCGTGTGCCTCGCGGGGGGGCTGCCTCGAGTGGCGGTGGTTCTACGGGGGGAGGTCCGGGGGCCGGGGGCTGGTGCTGTCCCCTGCTCTGCTTTGGGTGCTGTTTAGGCCGGGGGGAGGATGACTCCTGTCCAGGGGTCCGCCGGGTGTTTCCGGGCTTCGCTCTCTTGGGTGGTATTTGAAGCCCAGGGTGTGTCGGGTGTGGAGAGGTGTGGCGCCGTCATAACCTTGGCCTTGCGCTGTGGTGGGAGGGTGGTGGGGCTTTTGCTTGCTTGTCATTTGTGCCCTGTGGCCTACCCCGATCACTTGGTCCTCGCAGGGGGTTTTAAGGCGGGGCTCCACGGGTTGGG